AAAATAGCAGGAATGCCGGGCGTGGTGGTGTATGCCTGTAATCCCAGCACTAGGGAGGCTGAGGCAGGAGGATTGCTGCAAGTTCGAGGCCAGCCTAGGCTACAAAGTGAGCTCAAGGCCAGCCTGAACTGCATAGTGAGACCTTGTCTTAAAAATAACAACAAAAAAAAAACCCCACAGAAAATAGCAGGAATATCCGCCTCACCAATTCCTGACACTTGACAGAGAAATGAGGAGAAATTACAAAACCAATTCAGCAAGGTGGTGAGATACAAGATCAAAATTCAAAATGTATGATTACATTTCCTAGACAGGAATAGAAAAATAGAAAGAGATATTCAAAATAGTAACAAAAATTACAATATTCTGGAATAAATCTAACAAAATACGTAGTATAAGAAATTACGTTAAGAAAACCACAAACCTTACTAATGACAAAGTGGACTTGAATGAGGGACAGGTTATGCTCCTAGACAGAAACTAAATTCTCCTTAAATTATTTTATCAATTGAATTCGATGCTCCATAAAAATTACAAAAATACTTTTAATAGTACCTGGCAATCTGATTCTAAAATTCATTTAGAAGAGAAAATAATCAAAACAATTCTGATAAAAGTGATGGGAAATGCCCTTCTAGAGAATAAAACATACTATAATCTAGACATTAAAAGGGTTAAGAATAAAAGAAACCACCAGGCATGGTAGTAGATACCTGCAATCCCAGCACTTGGGCGACTGAGGAGGGGATCACCATGAGTCAAGGCAGCCTGCGCTACATAGCGAATTTAAGACCAGCCTGAGCTACACAGCAAGATCTTATCTCAAAAAACAAAAAACAAAAATTTAAAAACCAACTAAAGGGCAGGACAGAGTCTAGAAATAGATCCCACATATATACAGCAAGTACCCGATTTGCAAATGAGTTCTGGGAAAACACGCCTAAAATGGATTCACATATAGAGGTAGACCCATTAGAATTATAGCAGACTTCTCTATATAAACCTTAAAGGTCAAGAGGGTTTGAAGTGTTTCAAGCCCTACAAGAAAACAACTTGCAACCCTGGCTTACATATCCTGCAGTTATTCTATGACAAGGAACACCTCAAGAAATTCATGACCACAAAACCTACATTACAAAAATTTCTCAAGGATATATTTGAGAAAGTGAAGCCAAGAATGCCAATAAGTCAAAAAGAATGAGAACATCTGATAGGATAAACAGCTAAGCAACAGGGGAAAAAATAAGGAAATCAATATAGGAAAATAATGTAATGATAGGAATAACTCAATACCTCTCATAATAGCTCTCAATGTGAATGGTCTCAATTCCCCAATCAAAAGACACATATTGGCAGAATGGATCAAGAAACAAAATCCAACAATAGGCAGTATACAAGAAAAATATTTAATTCAAAAAAATTCACAGATTAGAAATCAAAGGATAGAAAACAATATGCCACCCAATGGAACCTGGAAAAAAGCAGGAAATGATCTTGATATGATATAAATGATAAATGATATGATCTTGTATATAAAAATTCTAACAAACTTTATTAAAACTATTAGCACTAATAAATAAGCTCTTAAAGTTGCTGATACAAGATCAATATATAGACTTAATAAAAATTTGAAAAAGAATCAAGAAACAATTCTATTTACAATGATACTGAAAAGAATAAATTTAACACAAGAAGCATAAAATTTACACTCTAAAAATTTAAAAAAAAAGCCAAAGCCAAAACCACACCAATCCTGAAAATAAACTTGAAGGACTCACATGTCTCAACTTCAAAACATATTACAAATACACAGTAATAAACACAGTGTGTTGCTAACATAAGAGGATATGTATATATATAGATAGATGAGTGGAATAGAGACTCTTAAGTGCTTCTAGTCAAGGAGGCCAAGAAAATTCAATGGGGAAAAAATAGCCTTTTCAACAAATGATGGTGAGACAACTGGATACCCACATGTAAACTGAAGATGGACAACTATTTCACACCATATAAAAAATTAACTAAAAGTAGACCAAAGACCTAAATATGATATGAATGGATATTTTTTCAAAGAAGATGTACAAATTGACAATAAGCACATGAACCAATGCCCAACATTAGCCATCAGGAAATATATATGAAAACCACAACTATATACCACTGCACACCCACTAGAATGGTTACAATTAAAAAGACCTAACAAGGGGCTGGGGATTTAGCTCAGCGGCACAGCACTTGCATGGCAAGCGCAAGGTTGTGAGTACGATTCCCGGTACCGGAAAAAAAAACAAAAAACAAACAAACAAACAAAAAAAGACCTAACAAGTGAGATTGTGGAGAAATTAGAACCCTCCTATAGAGTTGATGAGAATGTAACACAGACCAGATGCTTTGGAAGACAGTCTGCCAGTTACTCAACCAGTTAAACATGGAGCTACTATATGATCCAGAAATTCCATTCTTTGATAGATACTCAGAGAAATTTACTTTTCCATATAGCAGAATACTATTTGGTAATAAAAACATATTGATACATGCTACAAAACGGATGAACTTGAAGACATGCTATATGACAGCAGTCAGTGTCAGAAGACCACAAACTGCATGATTCCTTTTATATGAAATGGCCAGTATAGAAAAATCTATACAGAGAATTACTTATGAGGAGGAGGCAGACTGGTGGAAAATAGGGAGTGATTCCTAATGGGTATGAGTTGGTTTTTGAGGGGAGAAAAATATTTAAAAAAGTATTATTGTGATGGTTATGCAACTCTTTGTGAATATACCAAAAACCACTGAAATTTATACTTTAAAAAAGGACAAATTTTATGGTATGTTAATCATACTTTAATTTTTTTAAAAAAGGACATTGAAGAGAGTTAATATGACTCAGGAATTCCACTTCTAGGTACATACTCAAGAAAAATTATACATTTGTCCACATGAAAACTATATATGCATGTTCACAAAATTGGATGCAAGCAATGAATAGATAAACAAAATGTGCTATAGCCATACAATTGACTATTTTTTTTTTTTTTTTTTTTTTGGTGGTACTGGGAATCGAGCTCGGGACCTTGCGCTTGCCAGGCAGGCGCTTATGCCTCTGAGCTATATCCCCGGCCCCCCCTTTTTTTTTTGTGCAGTAGACTATTATTAAGCAATTAAAAAGAATGAACTATTGATATATACTACAACATATATGAAACTGGCAAACCTTATGCTAAATGAAACAAGTCAGTCCCAAAACACCACATATCATATGACTACATTTATATGAATGTAGGTTAGTGGCTGCCTCAGTCTAGGGAAAGGGTTGAAAACTGGGAATGAGTGATAACAGGTATGATGCTTCTTTTCAGGGTGATAAAATGTTTTCAAACTAGATTGTAGTGATGCCTACACTACTCTGTGAATATATTAAAGTCAGACATTACAGTTTAAGTGGGTGAATTTTATAGTATGTGAATTATATCTAATAAATCTATTAAATTAAACAACTGAGACTATACACCTAAAAGAATATAAAGAAGGTATAAGAATCTTTAAAGTCAGGTGCGGTGGCACACAACTGTAATCCCAGCACTCGGGAGGCTGAGGTTGGAGGATTGCCAGAAGTTCGAAGCCAGCCTGTATTACATAAATGAATTCAAGGCCAGCCCGAACTACATAACAAGACCCTGCTCCTCAACCAGAAAGAATCTTTAAAAATAGTATTAACAAGGCTAAATGTCAAAGTGCAAATGTAGAACTAAAAGGGCATTTTAGAATACATTCAGAACAAAAACTGAATGAAGTAAGTCTCTGTTCTGTGCCAGCTCTAATGACAAATGACAAAGAGGTAAAATTCTTCAATTACTATTTTTGTTTCCCTCTTTTGACTAAAAATATGACTGAGGTAGAGTAAGTGAGAACCCAACTATTTTAATAAAAGTTCAAATGCCAAATGAATTAGGAATAGCTTAGAGAACAGAGAGTAATTCCAAATGTGACTGCTGAAGCTATGTCAGTGATCTTTGAGGAATCATGGAGAAAAATGTGCTAGAAAACTGGGGAGATGTAATTTCAATTTCCAAAAAAACGGGTAAATGTTAATCCATAAATTACAGACCAATAAATTTCAAATGGATTTTATAAGGATAGCTTGCAAATTCTTTTTTCTGTTTTTTTTTTTTTTTTTTTTTCTGGTACCAGGAATCGAACTCAGGACCTCACGCTTGCCAGGCAGGCACTGCGCCATTGAGCTATATTCCTGGCCAACTTGTAAATTCTTCCATCCTACAAAACGAAGAATGAGCACTAGAAACAGCTTGAATTCACTAAGAAAAAGGTTAATCCTTATTTCTTTGTTATACTGTTACTAAGGTGGTAGCTATAAGAACCACGGTAGACATAGCATATCTGGATTTAGCAAGACATTTGACAAAACCTTTTATGCGATCCTTAAAGAACAAAGTTGAAAAAGAGAAACTGGGTGTTAATTTTTGTTAGACAGATTAATAATCCCGTAAGAACCATTCCCAAAACATGCAGATCACCAAGTAACTATCATATTAGATGAAGGTTTCTAATAACATATGGGACTTTTCTAGCAACAGAAGCTTTATCGTTTAAATTCAACAACTTGAACAAACATATGGAAATCATACTGGTAGGGTACACATGTGACAGCAAACTGGGAAGGACAGTGAATATTTGGAATGACAGAATTAGGATATTGATTTTTAATCTTAAGTGGTTGAGGAGATAAAACAAAACTAGAACTTGCCTGGAGAAGATGAAATCAAACTAAGGGTCAGACTGAAATCTCATACCTGGATTACAGAATGCGTGCAAAGGGAAAGAAAGAAACTTTTTTTACTATGCGTGAAATCAGCTTCTAATTTGAAATGTACCTATTACAATGTGATCTTAAATATCCCAGTCAAAACACCAACAATACCAAGAACAGTACGGTAGAGTAGTTCGTATCTGGAAGTGTGCCCTTAAATTATTCTCACCCTCTTTTAGACGATCCCCTTCAGCTTTGGTTTTCTTCTGTCTTTCTGATCCAGCAAGGTCTACAAGATGCAACTTGGAACGAAAGCTGCTATTCCTGTGATGATGACAGGAGTACACAAATGAGAAGAGTACACAAACTTGAGACTAGCTGAGTATCAAAGCTGATCTGCCAGCTCTCGTTTGCTTTCAAGTCAATAAAAATAGCTCCACTGGTCACTAATGCTCACAATACTGATGTTTGATGTCAAATCAACTGAAGATGCAGCCTATTCAACCTAAACAGAACAAAAAAAAAAATCTTGACTCTTTAAATTTAACTTACTTGTCGTTTTTCTTTCTTTGCTCTATGGAGATTGTAAAGATGGCATGAGATCGGGAGGACTGGGAGTTCATAGCTGTTGAGGCCACTGTCCTACAGTTGTTGCCCTGCTCCAAACAGGAAACCGTATCCAAGGCAACAAAAACAGTCTTCTCAGTGAGTCCTATAATCTAATTCCAAGAAAGAAAAATTTCTTTATGATTCATACTTCAAATTAAATTTAATGGTTAAGGTGCAATGTTGACCTTATGGGGAAATTTGATTCAGTTCTCATCTAGTTTGGTTTGGGACCAGAGTGGTGGAGAGAACTGAGTTTGTGAACTGAAGTACACTATATAGGGACTGGTGGTTTTAAAGAAAATGTCTTGGTAGGGCAAAGTGGCACACACTGTAATCCCAGCACTTGGGAGGCTGCAGCAGGAGGATCACCGAAAGTTCAAGGCCAGCCTGGGCAAGTGAGTTCAAGTGTAGGGAGCAGCTGAGCCATGGCTGAGCTAGAGGTCGGTGGACTCCTTGGGACTAGGGCAAGGCCAGTCCAGCAGGAGTCTAGCCTTGATGTTCTTCCCTGCTAACTACAGCACAGATAGCTCTGAGAATGTTTCACTTTCAGTATTCTCAGCAAAGCACTGAGAACTTGCACTTCCAACTTCATTGCATGCTTCTCCTCTTTTTACTATGTATAAATAAAGATGCAGACTGTGCTGGGTTGTTGCTGCCTCTTTAGAGGTCAGGTCCCACCTGGTCCTAGCTTTCCCTTTAGTATATGTCTAGTTTTTTCTTAATCTCCCATCGCCCCCTCTCAGGACCCCACTGGCCAGCCTGAACTACAGAGTGAGACCATGTCAAAAAAAAAAAAAAAGTCTTGATGTTGCAGTAGAACCTCTACAAATAGAATACCTGTAAAAATGAGGACTGTTTAAACTAGCAACTCTGTGAAGTAATTGGAAACCAAGGTCTCTAATCTTCGCCCAGGAACTTCAGAAATAAGGGTATCAGCCAATACTGGATCTAGAGAAGACCTCCAGATTTTAGGGTAGCAATGGCAAGGTGACTTCCAGGGAGTCACAAGTAAAAGTAAACTTTGATCCCAAAGGAGACTAAGTCCAACACAATCAGTTGTGGTATCTCTTTACTACTTCATCCTCCAAATGATTCCATGTGCCTCCAAGTACCCCTTACCCATTTTATACTTCATTTTTACCAAAGGAAATAGCATGGTACTGTTTTCTCTGGATTAGAAAGCCAGAGCATAATCTTAGGCTTGATATGCACCTACCTGGGAGAACTTATACAAGTTGAAATCTCTTGGATAGGACTAAATGATGATGAAATCCCTTCTAATCTCAATATGCTATGATTTTATTACTACATAGCTCTCAAATCAGTATCTGTGGCTCCAATATTTCTTTATTTCTAACTCCCTGTGTATACTTTGAAAACAGTACACTGTAAACCAAATTCATCTTCCTTCCACCAACACTGATTTCCTCCTCTATTCCTATCTCTATTAATACCTCAGTTCTTATACCTCAAAACCTCAGATCACCTTCAATTCTTCCCATTCTTCCATATCCCACCTATCATCAACTTCTAGCCATTCTTCTTTTGAATCCACCTCTTCCTTTTCCTTTCTGAACCTATCTTCTGAGTTCAAGTCCATATTAATGTCTGAAAAATAAAACAACACTTTCCCCAGTTTGTCTTTCTCATTTCAGTCTTTCTACTTTTCACTTCATTTCTGTTTAGTCTTCCTAAAATCTTGTTTCCTAAAATGTCACCTAAGTACTAAGCCCTGTGTTAGATAATGAGAATACAAAGAGATTTTAAAATACTTTGCTAAACTCTAAGAGCTAAGATATTTGGAGAGATACACATATAAGATAAAAATTTGATGAAAGTAGCCATGGCAATGTTTCATTAAGAAGTATCCAATAGTTTCTATGCTGTTCTATTACTTGCTATTTTCCTTTTCTCAAAAACTAAGCCCTTTAGCCTAGCTTCATAAACTCATCCTAACATATATCCTGTTACTTCCCAGTCCAAATCCTCTAATCCAGACAGACTGGACTAGACCTATTCTGCTTTCCTGACGAAGTTATTCCTTACTACAAGAGTACTCTTACTTATTTTCTCTACTTAAATCCCATCTATCCTATTTGAAAAAATGTTTACAAACTTGTCCTTATACACCTTAATCTTTGTCAGGATCCCATGCTTTTCTGAACTGCCTATCACACTTCCAGCAATAGCTGGGATTTAATTCCTGCTTTAGCATGAGATAAAAAAGCTTAGAGTACGATCAAGAACTAGCTTAGTACCAACATTTTTTCTGGTGGTGCAAATATTCTGCCCAGATTTCTTATCCCCACTCTGCGAAGTCTTCCTGTATTCCATAAAATAACATTTTAATAACACTTATCAGACTTCATCCTTCAAACTTGCATTAGTACGTAGCTAACAATGGCCAAAAAGGCAAAAACAAAACTCCAAACAAACAAACAAACCCTCAGGAACATAGGCATCTGCTCCTCACCTGCACTCCAAACCTTCAATGTTTCTTTTTTGTTTTGTTTTTTGAGACAGGGTTTCATTATGTAGTTCAGGCTGACCGTGAACACACTACAGTAAGTCCCTGACTTACAAACATTCGACTTTCAAACTTACATAGATACAAATAGACCTCCCATTACAAACATTCACACATGTGAACAAATCACGGAAGTAGCTCACATGTCTGTCAGACATTGTCACAGTTGTGCTGCTGTGTGCTGTAAGCAAGAGGAAAAGCAAAGGTGATATGAAGGAGACTGCTAAAAAGCGCAAAGCAATAACCATGGAAACGTAAGTGGAAATACAGTATAAGACTCACTTGTTGGACTTAAGAATGAATCAACTTATGAACGTTCTACCAGAACAGAACTCGTTTCTAAGTCAGGGACTTACTGTACACAACCCAGGCTGGCCTCATGACAATCCTCCTGCCTCAGTCTACTGAGGGTTAGGATTATAGGTGTACACTACCATGCCCAGCTAATGTTTATTCTTTGTGCAGAGGAAGAGGAAAAGGAGAAGATGGCTAAGATATTTCTCCACATTTTCCCAAGTCTGTAGTACCGATTCTTACTTCCAGCCTGATTTTCGCACTTCTGAATACTCAGTCTCTGCCTCCTCATCCTGTATCTATACCAGAGACTCCCAAATAAGTGAACTCTTCTTCCTGTGGTATTGCAAATTTTAAACACTTCATATTTAATTTTTCACATTCTAATAACATTCTATTATAATACTATAAAACAGAATTACCTAGTATCACTGATATGTTGTGTATCTGCGCTATTCAACACAATGTAAACCATGCATAGCTACCAAATCCTTGATATGTGATCAGTAGATCTGAGGAACTGAGTTTTAAATTTTATTCAATTTTAATTAAATTAAACTTAAATAGCTACTTATAGCTCGTGGCTACCACACTGGACAGCTCAGCCTCATAACACTTAATAAATGTTTAGTTGACATTACCATTCGTTCAGGAAGTAACAGGAAGATGATAAAATAATGAGTCTTCCCTGCCTTCCGTCCCCATAAGGCCTCCCACCTGGGAATTCTAGGTCAACAAAAGGAATTAGGACCACACAAAACCTGAAGGACTAAGATATTAGTAGTCATTTAAAACCACAGTGGCAAAGAAAAGGGATGTGAACTTTAGTCGTTTCCCACATTTTTAATAACATCAAATGAAAGACAAACACACCTTTATGCCTTCCTTAGGATCCTCCCGGATATTGATTTGAGAGGCTTTCTCTCGAGATGGGCATAGAAGATCCAAAATTTCTTCATTGTAAATCTGATATTGTTGAAAATAATGTGGCAAAAACAAGATATTAACAGTGGTAATCTCTGAGTAGTGCGATCATATAGGTAACTTTTAAAATACACTGCAACTTCTTATATTTAAAATTTTGTTTACAATAAGTATGTATTACATTTTAGAATTAAGTAAAGGACTTTAAGGGACTGAGGATGTAGTTCTCAAAAAATGCATGAGGCCCTGGGTTCAAGCCCCACCACAAGAAAGGAATTTAACCTTATAGGTAACCATTTGATATTTTATAAAAATGAATTCACAAATTTACTTATAAGAAAACTGAAACTGTACCCTCTTGTTCTCCCCACCCAACTTTTTGTGTGCTGGGATGGAACCCAGAACCCACATAAGCCAGGTAAGTGCTCTGAACTACATTCCCAAAGCTGAGACTGCCCTCCTAATATAATCTCTTAGAAATAGCAGACAAGGGGCTGGGGATTTAGCTCAGTGGCAAAGCGCCTGCCTGGCAAGCGCAAGGTCGTGAGTTCGGTTCCTGGTACCGGAGAAAAACCAAAAAACCAAAAAAAAAAGAAAAAAACAGAAATAGCAGACAAATGTAAAATTACATGAATGCCCAGTACTTTAATGGTTTCATAACAGCATCAGCTTCAAATATTTCGTTAAAATGTAAGCAGTGGGTCTGTGTGGGAGGGAAGGATGGAGGTAGACAGCAAGGGAAGAAAAAATGGAGAAGTAGCAACTAGTATTTCAACAGCAAGCAGAATTTTAAGTACTTAGAACAAAGTTTAGTAAATAGTAAGCACTATTATTTGATTGATATTATTGGTGATGCTATTGTTTAACATGCTAGCTACCCAAGTTATTTTTGTCTTTAATTATCTTGGTCACAACTGGCCTAACCTAAAATCAAAAAGAGTAATCTTAGAGATGTCTAACTCCCTCTCTTCCAACTCTGTATCTCTTATGCCTCTTAACATATTGATATTCATCTTTAGGGTAAAGTATTGACATATAATTTATAATTGCATAGTTAAATTAAATGTGGTTTTGGTGTCATGAGGTTAGATATAATCGGCCGATCTACTTGTATGCTGATATACACTAGAATGCAAACTCCTATGGGGCAGGGGTTTTTATCTGTTTTGTCTACTGATATCTTCCAAGAATGTGATACACCCAAATGCCTAAAATAGTATCTGGCACATATTAGGTGCTCAGTAAATATCTGCTGAATAAACACATTCTATTGCCACTTATACAGCTCAGTATTTCATCTGATTTTTTATCATTCTTTATGAAGCAGGTAATTGTAACTTAAGTCTCAAAACAACGAAGGAAAATCAAATACTTTTCGCACACTCACTCTACAGTGAATCAGTAATGGAGGCCAAACTAGAACTAAAAATTTTTATCATTTTTAATATGGCAATGCAAATTCCTCTAATAATCTGATTAAATAGACTATCTTACTTATTTATTTCTTTATTTATTTTGGCACTGGCAATCAAACTCCGGACCTTACGCTTGCCAGGCAGGTGCTTGTGCCACTGAGCTATATCCCTGGCTCTAAATAGACTATTTTAATAAGAAAAGAGCAGAGTGGGAGGTGAGCCAGTAAGTTTTCTCTATCAATTTATTAAAATGTAATTTACTAAAAATACAATTTACTAATCTGAATCATGCCAGGAAAAATCTGATTTGGATTTCTTTTTTTTTTTTATTTCTCTATTTCTTTTTTTGTCTTTGCAAGACAGTTTCACTATGCAGTTCAGGCTAGCCTTGAACTCACTTTGTATCCTAGACTGGCCTTGAACTTGCAGCAATCCTCCTGCCTCAGCCTCTCAAGTGCTGGGGGATTTATTTTTCTACCCAAAGATAATTTTGAATTCAGAATAATTAAAGATAAATCACTTACCTCCAAGTAAGATACTTTCAGAGTAAATTCAAAGTCACTCTTTTTATCAATTTCTTTGAAGAGCAATTGTATTACCCTAGGAATGACCCCAACTGTTGGTTCATTCTCTTGCTCTGCAGTGTATGCACCTCCCATTGAATAAGTTTTCCCAGAGCCAGTCTGCCCATAGGCCAGGACGGTTGCATTGTATCCTGGCAAAACAGAGGTCATATACATAGCAACACTCAAATATTCTCAATCAATACACTCAAATTCCTTCAGCAATTACTTCTAACAAAATTGAGATTACAACCTTAACACAGAATTTTTTTCTTTCCATTTTTATTGATTTTTTTTTTTTAAACACGGTCTCAGTATGTAGTTCAGACTGGCCTTAAAAATCACAGAGATCCTCTTGCCTTAGCCTCCCAAGTGCTGGGATTACAGACATACATCACCATGCCTGGCTAAAACAGAATTTCTTAAGAATAGCAGACACAAAGAAAAGTTCTGTGGATGCCAGGACTTCACACTACTCAAAATAAGCAAAGAAGAATACCAACCTCAGATTGTATCCTCTTGATAGTTTTTAAAAGCTATGAAGTCAAATACTTAAAGATATGACTAAGATAATGAATGTGGTAAAACCACAGTTAAAAGCCTTTCAGAGATTTATAATTCTGTCTCGCTACCTTGAGCAATTCTAAACTATGAGAATTTAATGAAAGTCTTAAAAGCTGTATTCTAAAGGGATTTAGTCTTGTATTTCTTTGATTAAGAACTTTCATTTGAAAAGGCAGCACCAGTGTTTTTTACTATTGATAAAACTACTCCTGCCAGGCATGGTAGCATGCGCCTTTAATCCCAGCACTTGGGAGGCTGAGGCAGGAGGATCATTGTGAGTTGGAGACCAGCCTGGGCTACAAAGTGAGCTCAAGGCCAGCCTGAATTGCACAGCAGAGATACTGTCTCAAAAAGACTCCCCAAGAAAACCCATCTATTCCCTACCTAAACTTAAAATGTATGCCAACCATATGGTCTGGATCCTCACAGAAAAATTATCACTTTGGTACGATTCAACATGATATATATATATATCGTTAACTTTTTTCAGCATTGATAAAGCATTATCTACTCGAAGACGTTCATGATAATAACTGAAAAAAAGCAAGTTAAAATTGTAAAGTATAAGTAAATGCATAGGAAAAGATCCAAAGGATATCCATTATAAACATTTTGATGTTTATCTCCCAGGATAGTGATTTTTGTTTTTTTCTGCTTGTTTGTGTTCTCTAATATATTAAATGGAATACACTATTGAACAGTGGCTATGTTTTCTGTTATCATCAATGTAATCAGTACTGTTTGCAGAAAGACTCAAAGTCTTTCTGTTTCAGTTTAGTTCTAATAAAAATGTTTATATTTTGTTTTGTCAGAAAGTCCCAATTAGTCATTACTTCGGCACTTTCCTTTCATCCTATAAACTAAAATTTTTGATTGAAATTAAAAGCAGATAAACCCAACTACAACTGTAGCAAGGTTTAAAAAAGATACACTTAGACAATAGATGGGCTATTCTCACCATAACCTCAATTGTTATAATTTGCTAATTAAGTAGTAACTACTAAAACTGTAAGCATGACACCAAGTACAACCATCATACTAATGAAATTTGCATTGCCACTTGCGACCATCTATTCCTCAAATCCCACTTCAGTTTTGTCAGCTGTTCCAATACCGTCCTTTATAGCAAAAAGAGCTTGCTCAAAATCACACTAGATGAGGTACAAAAGCATTTTTCAACTCTAAGGCACTAGTGTGCCATAATTCTACTTCTTTCAAATGAACCTTTTTGAATTTTGAATAACCACTGTACTAAGATAACAATTAGACATCACTCAGGCATTGTATCCAGGCATTGTATCTTCTTTAGAACCCTGCTATGGAGCTGGGCATGGTGGCACACACCTGTAAGTCCAGCACTCAGGAGACTAAGGCAGGAGGACTGTTGCAAGTGCCAGACCAGCCTGGGCTACAAAGTGACCTCAAGGCCAGCCTCAACTGCATAATGAGACCCTGTCTCAAAAGACAAAAAACAAAACAGAACCCTGCTATGGTATTCCTATTAAAGCCTAACTGGCCATAGTACTCAGGGGCTGTAGGAAATTCCTTTCTCCACCTAAAAGAATTCTCATCATTCAAGACCAGTCAATCTCAAAGGTTCCCTTTTCTGTGAAATTCATCCCCAATCTCCCAGAATTAATGTCATCCTTTTGTTTTTCATAGCACTTTGCATGAAAACTGTGCTACTGCTATAGCAGGACTGAGTCTATTGCATATTTTCAACTTTTAAAATAGTTTTTTTAAGATAAGTGCAACAAATTAAAAACCTTTTATGTATTCAAAATTATTTATGTATCATCTACCTCTCTTCCTACCCCATGGACTTTGAACTCTTTCATGGTCTGTAAGCCATATTACTTATCTCTGAATAAATAATAGAATGAATACTGAAGCCTGGAACTCAGGTTAGCACACTCACCAGCAGCTGCACCCACCAAAAGAACTTATACTCTAATGAGGTTCCAGGACAAACAAAAACATGTACCATACAAAGATAAACAGAATCACAGGAAGCAAATACAGTATCAAACAAGCTTCAAGGTAACAGAGACTTCCACAAATCTTATTAGGTTTCACAACTAGGCTGTGGACTTTTCGAGGGTTTTGTGTTGTTTTGGTTTGGTTTGGTTTTTTGAGACAGTGTCTCCCTGTAGTTTAGGCTGCCCATGAACTCATTATGTAACCGAGACCGGCCTCAAACTCGAGGTGATGATCCTCCTGCTGAGATTACAGGAGGGTGCTACCATGCCCAGCTAGCTGTGGGGCTTCTGAAGGCAAGAATTGTGTTTCACTCATCCCTGGATTTGCAGTACCCAAGCACTGTACCCAGCACAAACTACACGCTCAAGAAACATCGGTGAACTAGATCGCCTCACCTTTAAATATGCCTTTTATGAGTGGTGCTACTGCTGTATTGAAGACCTCTTCCTGTTCAGTAGAGGGGTCAAACACAAAATCATAGGTAAAGGATTTGTCATTACCGACCACCACCTGCAGAACGCAAGGGACAAGGCGTTAGGGGAAAAAGGCTAGACCACGCCCCCCCCACTGCCAGTCAGTCCCACCTGCTGAGAAAAGAAGTCCTGGACTCTGCTACGCACCTGCGGCTCCCCAGGCACGAAGGAAAGGCACATCTGGCAGCCCTCGCTGATCTCTTTAGGGACTAGAGGGCGACAACGTAGTGCCACTCTTACAGGAATTCCTTTCACCTCTTCCTTCATGGCCCTAGCGCAACACCGTCGCTGCGGGGGGCGGGGGTAAGGGAGGGAGAAGTTTGCTAAAGTATTTCGTAAGATGGCAAGGATAGAAGGGCCCTCCTCATTGGAATCGCTGCCTCCTGAGATTATTCTCGCTCTCTCTGATCTGGCCACGACGGATAGGCCCGTCAGCCCGACATTCTCAAGAGTAAAGTGGCATCTGAAATGAAGAGGGGAACAAAACAAACAGCAGGAACAGCGACCAAACAACACAAAGCCCCAAAGTACGTGAAAGGCAAAATCCGAGCCAAGCGTGCACCCTTAACTCACCAAACTGTAACGTCCTTTCCCCTGGTCTTTCTCGTTCTCCTGGCGCTGGGTCCCAAACGGAGCTTTAACCGCCAAGTTTCAAATCAGTCCCAGAGGCGGCAACCAATCCAAGCGCCGACAGCCTGCGGGCGGAGCACGCTTGTCGGCGCGGGCGGGATGACGCACTAGGAAGGGGCGGGCAACCCTGCCACAGCCCGGCCCCCACTCGGCACTAGCCAGCATCCGGTTCCGGTTCCCAGGCCGAATTGGCGGCGAGCCCGCTCGGGCTGCCGAGGCCTGGCTGCCGGTGAGGTATTGCGGTGTTTACGCGGTTGTGAGCGCGGGACTCGGGCAGGGTGTGGGAAGAGGATCTACAGGTGGCTTAGGGGTGAGGGAAGAGCCGATGTGAAGACCCCATCGTTACTAATTATCTTTAGAGAATATAGGGTGATTTTGGATACCTGGAGTTAGCACTTCCTCAAACTTAGAAAGTAGGGCTGGGGATTTAGCTCAGCGGCAAAAGCGCCTGCCTGGCAAGCGCAAGGTCGTGAGTTCGGTTCCCGGTACTGGAGAAAAAACAAAAAAAAAAAAAAAAAAAAGAAAGTAGGTATTTTTAGACACGACCCTGTTTTCCTCTTTTCTAGTATAAAGACGGTAACTTTTGTTCTGCAGGATGTTTGCGAGAAATGAGATCATGTTTCTAGAGTAGTACTATATTGCATGTTGCTTTGCATCCATACATTTAGGTTTTTTCCATCACTTGTCCTTCTCTATTCTACACCCTTCACCCCATACTGAGGATTGAACCCAGCGGTTCTTTACAGCTAAGGTACAACCCCAACCTTTTTTTATTTTTGAGACAGGGTCGAGCTAAGTTGCTTGCGCTAGCTCCTGACTTGTGATTCTTCTGCCCCAGAGTGCTGGGATTACAGTGCACCACAGTGCCTAGCTCCTCTCAATCTTAATGCCTAAATGTGGACTGACTGCCTTGGATAGCTTGGAACTGCTTTCTACACCTTGGTATACTGCTCTCTCTTTTGAATCACTTTTACTTCAGTTCATCCTTTCTTTCCAGGACCTTGACCAAGATGGACAGCCGTATTCCTTATGATGACTACCCGGTGGTTTTCCTGCCTGCCTATGAGAATCCCCCAGCATGGATTCCTCCTCATGAGGTGGGAACCTTCTGTATTCCTGAGAAGGGAATTTCCACCCCCCACCCCACCCCCCGGGGCATGAGATGATGCATAAAAAGTAGGATGACACGGTTAGAAAGTTAAATGGAGAGTGAATCTTAGCCCTTATTTTAGCCAAAAGACCCAGAAGATGAATTGTGAGCAACAGTGGAACATTGGGAACTTCTTATGAAAGGCTTCCATGAGGGTTCCATTTATACCAGTGAATTCTGGAAATGCAGAGCCTGACATTTCATTTTGTTAAAAAGTGAAAAGTGGGGAGCTGCTGGGTTGCTAGTATGTCCTCATGCTAAACAATTACTCATTTGGACAGTTTTACTTATTCTACCTAAATTGAGCTTATGACCCTATCTTTTCCTGATTTGGGGATGATGCATTAATATTCTAGAAGAAGGTAAGTATGACATCTAAGGCTGGTAGTAAGATTTCAGGGGTTCCTGCCTTGCAGAGAGTGTACCACCCAGACTACAACAATGAGTTGACCCAGTTTCTGCCCCGAATTGTCACACTGAAGAAGCCTCCTGGAGCTCAGGTAAGCTTAAAGAAAGCCTCTTACTCCAGGCTAGATTTGTCCATACGAGAACTTGGCTGTTTGATAGGATGGGTTGGGAAACACCACTCCTGAAAATTCTCATTTCCCTCAGAAACACACAACCTGAGCTATTAAACCGTGCTACTACTCAGTGTGCTTGTGTGGTGTATCTTGAGCTCCAGTTCTGTGTTCTTGTCTTGCAGTTGGGATTTAACATCCGAGGAGGAAAGGCTTCTCAGCTAGGCATCTTCATTTCCAAGGTGTGTATGCCTGGTAGGCAATAGGAATAGCTGCTTCCCTTTGTTATCGGATTGTAGTACCCTGATACCCCAAGAGCCTAGAGAATGGTGACTTGATAGACTCATAATAGGCATAAATGGTAATTTCTCACTCAGAATTTTCCATTTGGCAAACAAGCCATCTGTCTCCCATTGTCACAGAAAAAAACAATAGCACTTTACAGTTGAATAGCACTGGACTTCACCTGTAGTCTTCTGAAATTACCCCATCCAGGTGATTCCTGACTCAGACGCACATCGGGCAGGACTTCAAGAAGGGGACCAAGTTCTGGCTGTGAATGATGTTGATTTCCAAGATATTGAGCACAGCAAGGTGAGAATAGCACTTGGGCTGTGGTGATGCAAGAAGCCATCCCAGGTAGGACACGTTGGACAAGTTGGACAAGGTTAGCCTAGTCTGTAACTTCGTACAAAAGCATCTGTCCTTGAGAAATGTACTAGAGGGAAGTGGCTATTAGTGACCCAGAGGGTTGGAGTATCAAATCCCATTCCTCCTTTTGTGATTCTGCCATGGTTTATTTCTCTATATTTGTATAAGCTGCTATGTTTTTTCCAGGCTGTTGAGATCCTGAAGACAGCCCGTGAAATCAGCATGCGTGTGCGCTTCTTTCCCTACAGTAAGTGTCACTTTCTTTTTTACTTGGCAGAGACCTATGTAGGGACTCTTTTAAGTTACTAATGATGACTAGAACCTGGGAATGGGAAATTGGAAGCTCAGGCCTGAAAATAACCTGTTCTATTCCTTCTTTTTATTTTCTTCTTTCCCCTAGATTATCATCGCCAAAAAGAGAGGACTGTGCACTAGAGAGTTTCAGCTCACTAGACGGTTGCAACACGAGCTGGCTGGGCCCCAGGGAAGCCACTTGGGAAATTCTTTTCTCAGTCCCTTCCTGACATATTGGGTGGGGAAGATGCAGAGACATAATAGCCAACTGCATTACCCAAACTGTACTGTCTTTTCAGTTCCCTGGTTTTCTAGATGAGCTTCATTCCCTGAAAGGAGAAGAATCATGAGGGCTGGGATAAGCCTAGCCCGTAGAGAACCCAGCTAGAAAAGGAAACTGACATTTACTAGGTACCATAGGCTAGGTGCTTACCCAGGTTAACATTTTGATTGTAGAAATCAGTAGGAAAAAAAGAAAGGAATGTTGTGTCTGATTTGCCAGCCATCTCATCCCATCCTTATATTACTGGAAGTTTCATATATACTTTGGGGACTCCAATGACACACTATTTTTGCCCCTTCTCTATCCTCTCCCCTCGAAAGTTAAACACAATACTGAAGAAGTATTGTGACTTTTGAATGGTAATGATTGGACATAAAATGCTCTTGAGACAAGAAAAAGCTTTTTCAAAGAGAGAAGTCAGTGGAAAAAAACAGCAGCATCTATGCCTGTTACAATTTGTGTCAGATGTGCCCCCCCGCCAAACCCTCATGTAGTATGGGCTTTTTCACAGGTGGTTGAATCTAGAGTATGTGATGCTGGGATTAAGGGTATGTAATTAGTAAATCAGCCCACTGATTGGTTTGGCATAGTTCTGGCTAGGGTTAAGGGGATGAGTACTATACTGCCCTATGGCGGGTAGCCTGTATACAATATAAGGGACAGAAAGAGGCTTGTCCTTCCCTTGTTGCTTTGCTACCCTCTGGCTACCATGAAAAGCTCCCTCTCATTACTTTTGCTACCTTCTGCCACCATGAACTGTTGCCTCTCTACCATTTGCCACCCTGTCTTTTGAAGCCAGCCAATTATGGACTGGAACCTCTATAAACTGAGCTAAATAAACCTTTCCTGCCTTTAACTTTGGGCATCAGGTATTTTGTCTCACAATGAGAGCAAACAGTAACTGAGAATTCGTTGCCAGAAAACTGGGGTCCTACTGTAACTATACCTGACCATGTGGTTCAGGAGCCTTTGGCAGTGGCTTATGGGAAGAATTTGGAAAGGTTTGGAGATGCCCATCAAAAAAGTAGTGCTGGAATGCCTTAGGCTGTACTGCATGAGAGATTCTGGTCATAGCTCAGAAGACAATAAGGCTAATAGAAATCCTGCCAGTAAAGACCAGGCTTGGAGGTTTCTGCTGAGAAGACTACATTGGCTGTTGGGACTCCAGACATGTGCATTATGGCTTGGCAGAAAGTTTGTCTGCATTTTGCTTGTGTCCAGAGACTTTGCCTGAGAGTAAGAGTAAGGGTGGTGGACTAATTAACCTGGCAGAAGTAATTTCAAGGCAGCCAGATTTTGAGGTGTTGGTATGGCTACTCTTAGGGCCTTTTTGCCAGATCTGTGTTGAGAATCAAGAACAAAGAGGCCAGCAGAATGATTTAAATCATTGTGAGTTTGGCCAGAAAGAAAACTCCAGTAAAGCTGTAAAGATAGAGCAGAGGTGATCCTGATTGCTCAGAAGGAATAGGAGAATAGAAAAGATGGCCTGAGAGCATCACAAGAAGCAGCAGAAACTACCCTGTGCAGCCTCAAAATTACAAAAGTGAAATACTTTGCTTTGAGAAGAGCACCCCAGAGTACCATCTTCCAAAATGGTGGTGGTGCTGGGAATATAGCTCAGTGGCACAAGCGTCTGTCTGCCACAATGGTGGTAGCCTAGGGAAGTTGTTCTTTGGGATTTGATTCATAGGCTCTTGACCTCTACGGCCAAGAGAGAAAGAAGCCTGGCTTCTGCTTCAGCTGGTGGTAGACCTTGGCATCATCCACATGGCACTCAGTGCATGAAGAATGGAAGAGTTGTTGGGCCAGGGAGGCTTCCACCTACATTTCAGAAGACCTGGGAGGCTAGGCGGTGTGCCCCCTGAGAGGGCAATGTGTGAAGCCAAAGGTGCAGTGGAGACCACAGAAGTGTGGAGAAGCCAGAAATGTGGATTGCCTGAGGAAAACTACAAGGAGGGAGCAGAGGTGGTCCCAATGAGAAACCATGGGAGCTCCTACCACCGGAAGTGCCATAGGGACAGAGCCACACAAGCCCTTTGGAGCTCACATTGCCTAGAATGCTTTAAGTGGAGCTGTGGGATTTAATGTTTGCCCTGCTGAATTTTGGACTTGCTTTGGTCCTATTCCTTTGTATTCCCATTTGTAACTTTTGGAATAGAAATGTCTATCTTGTGCCATTGAATGTTGGAAGTGTTTAACTTTATTTTCATTTGTACAGCTGCTCCCACCTAAGAGTTTGCCTTAAACCTCAGGATACTTGGGACTTGGATGTTTCAGCAATTGTGAAACTGTTAGAACTTTGGCAACTTTTGAAGATAGACTAAATGCCTTTTGCATAAAGGGATGTGTATGAGTAGGGGGTCATGGTTTGTGTCTAGGTGTCCCCTAAAATCCTCATGTAGCCATTGGTGGCTAAATCCTCATGTTTTCAGAGGTGGCTCAGTCTAGAGTGTGTCATGCTGGGATTAAGAGTGCATGATTAGTAAATCAGTCTACTGATTGGTTTGATATAGTTCTGGCTACGGTTAAGGATGTGAGTGCTGCTGCATCTGGCCTAGGGCAGGTACCCTGTATACAGTATAAAGGACCGAAGAGGCTTGTCCCTCCCTCCCTTGTGGCTTTGCTAACCTCTGGCCATGAAAAGGTCCCTCTCGTTGCTTTTGCTGTCTTCCGCCACCATGAACTGTTGCCTCTCAGCCATGTGCCACCCTACTTTGGAGCCAGCTGATTATGGACTGAAACCTTTACAAACAGCTAAATAAACCTTTCCTCCTTTTAACTTTGGCACTGGGAATTTTGTCTTAGGAACAAGAGAAAAATAATTATGACAATGCCCATCTATGCCTGGCTAGAACTTTAGAGAGGCTGCAGAACCTTAGCCACAGTGTAACCAAAGTATGGCATAGGATGAAATGTACTGGGAAAAACAGTACCCCTTCCCCTAGGAGCTTTGGGCATTTCTCTGTGAGGACAGAATTAATATAATTTTTTCCTAGATTCTTTAATCTGGAATTTAGACCAAGGCTTAGATGGACTTCTTTTCAGAGGCGGCAATAAGAAATTATGTGCCAATTTCTAACCTGTAGATTGGTAACTATCAGCTTCTCTCTTTTTTTCTGCCCCCCCCCAAAGAACTTTCTGGTATGTTGTTAGATATCTATTTACTAATTTGTTGTTAGCAATTCTGGGTCACACCTATGCCATTTTCAATGGCTTGTTCAAAACATCCATTCAGAACATAGTTTTTTTGTGAAGTAAGGGATAAAGTACCCTGTGATGAAAACCTCAAATTTGCCTTGAACGAATCCTGTGGCACTTAAGAATGTATTTATGGTTCCTTCTGGAGAGTGCTTCTGTTGATCGAAGATAGAACATGGAAATCTGATTTTTTAAATAAGCAAGGTAAGTAAGTCTTTGAACATTGGGGAACACTGTTCAAAATACTGATAGATTTTTATAAGGAAACTGACTCTTCCCATATATCCCACCCCAGCTCTACAAAAGTATGCCTTCTAGAGGCTTGGTACCACTGCTAGGTGGGCACCGTCCCTTGCCAGCAGAGCCAGGCCGGAAGTAATTTTCATCTCTGCTTCTTGGGAAATATTTTATTCTATGTTGGCTCTATTTGCTCTGCTGACCCCCGGTGGCCATCTGAGAAAATGGAGGCTTAGATACTTCCGCTAAAATAATGGCTGAGTTGGCTAAATGTTGAGGTCCAAGACATTATGATTAACAGATTAAGAAAACCCATCTTAGAAGTGTGGTAAACATACTTTAAAAAGGGTCAGTCTCATTTTGAGGTACGTGGTTGGAATGGTTCTGTGTTGGGGCACTAGCATGAGGCAGCTGCATCGTGGAAGTATAGAAATAGTGTGAGGACGGTGTAAACATAGACTAGGCTAAAGGAGCAGTAATTTTTTTGAGAGTAGGAAAATTTATTGGAGAAAAGGAATTAGGAATAGGGGAATGGAGAATAGGAATAGCTCCTGAGAGACAGGAAGGGTCCCAAATGAGCTGTTAACGATCCCACCTCTTGAAGTTTTATAGAGCAAAATCATGAGGCGGGTACAATGTGGGTAATTCTAAGGAACAATAGAGGTTAAGAGTAGGAAAATTTATTGGAGAAAAGGAATGGCAAGTAGGAATAGCTCCTGAGAGACAGAGGGGTCCTGAACAGGTTGCCCAAGAAGCAGTTATTTATTGAGGGTGAATGTAAGGAGACGGTAGAAAATATATTGTATTGGTCTTTGAGGTTTTCCCAGCTGATGTAGAGCTGCACCTCCCATAGATGTCTTTCAACTGTTTGAGAAAGAAAGGTAGAATTTCCAGGCACTGCAAGAAGCTGTGAGATGCAGTCTGGAAAAATGGTAGCACCTTCAGGGGTTCTGTTTTACTCCTACGCCCAGGAGCTAGAAGAGGGTAAGTTGCCAAGTATGTAAACCCTGTACCTGGGGGTGAGGGATAATGTTGATAAGGAAAGTCCAAATATGTAAACCTATCAGATTAGGTAGAGATGGCCCACGCTATTGATAGGAACAATACTTTTGATGCCTGAGTATTTAAAAGGCTCCAAGTAGATTTTAACCCCTGAAGTGTAAAGGACAGTAATAGAATGAGATAACTACAGTCCATCTTCAACTCCCAAGTAGCAAAAGCATGAGGAATTCTAACTGACGCCCTTCACCTCAAGACAAACCAAGGAGCTACTTTGGGCTAAGTTAGTCCCATTATCCCTTAAATTCCACTGAAGCAGAAAAATTAGCCTGGCCATCAATTCAACAAAGGAAGTTTGCCTTCTCTGCTTGTGTATTCCCTACCCCAGCAAAGCTGGAAGAAAGGACACTCCCTTCTTGGACCAGAGCTGAAGTTACTTCTGGAAAAAAGGGCAGAAACCACGTACCAGAAATAGCTATGCACATGTGAATGGTGACAAGTAAATGAAAAAAATTTGAAGCTAAGATGATTTCAGACCTTTGTGCTGCATGGTGGAAAGATGAACCTTGCCTCGCACACTACGGTAGCACAAGGGAAGGTCATCCAAAAAGGAAAGTAGTGCTGGGTAGTAGAGGCACTGCAATGGAAATATTAGCAGTCACTCCCCATTTGGCCCAACTTCTCCCTTCCCCCAGCCCTAGGCAACTACTAATCTACTCTGTTCCTAAAGATGCCTCTTCTGGCCGGTTCTTATAAATGAAACCAAGTAATACGTGGCCTTTTGTGTCTGTCTTCTTTCATTTAGTATAACGTTTTCAAGGTTCACCCACATGGTGGCATGTATGGAGACTTCATTCCTTTTATGGATGACTATTTGTTCGTTCTTATGCTGATGGACACATTGGTGACTTCCACCTTTTGACTACTGTGAATACTGCTGCTGTGAACACTGATACATACTTTTTTTGCGAATGCATGTTTTTCAATTCTCTTGGAGTTATATCTACTAGACTTGCTGGGTCATAAGGTAACAGCATTTTTGAGGAACTGCCAGACATTTTCTAAAGTGGCTACACCCTTTGGCCCATCCTATTTTGTAAACTTAAAAGAGAAAAAAAGTTAAGCTTTCTTTCTAGTTTTTGTTTTTTTGTTTTGCCTGGAGCTAGCAGTGTGTGTTTTGGGCTTCTCCGTCTTCCACGTAGCCCAAGGCCATGGTAGTTAGATTTGGCAAAGCTTCCTCAGCCTAGCTAGACAGGTGCCTTCTTGCCCTTGCTGGTGGTTTGAGTGAAAATCCCAGGAGCTATGTTGGCTATAAAATATCAGTTCTTCGTGATGGGGCTGAATGGCTAGCATGATATACAGTGATGAAATTCCTTCTCACGTAACTATAGCTTCTTAGGATTTCCAACATAATGACAACAATGTAGCCTCTTGAACATACAGCTACCCACTTACCCATCTCTTTGAAAGAAATGATGTGTGCAAGAAAATATGTTGCAATTGAAACACTTGTTGGGACTTTGGAGAGAATAATGTACCTGTCCTAGTCTTACCAACCTCTCTATTGCTTCCTCCATAACCCCTTTGTGAAATAAATATTAATATACTTTTCGCATTGTAACCAGTTTGGGTTCTGGTCTCAGTAAACATACTGAGAATGATGTCTTGTACTCTTTTAAGGAAAAAAGTTCTTTATTTCACAACCTGATTTGTAGGAAAGCAGAGATGTTCCTCTGGAAAAGACTATACTCTCCATTTGCCTTGAACCCCTTACTGAGGCTTTCCTTCTCAAGTCTAAAGACTTCCCAGTTTTTTCAGCCAACAAAATAAGCATCATTCAAAACCTTGTCCGTCATCAGTTAAGCAGAGGGTCGTTCTGCAGACCTCTCTGGACAAATGAGAAACAAGGGAAGGGCCCACAAAGTGGTAACTTAGAATTAGTCGACAAGGATAGATCCTTGTGAAGTGTAATGCTGCCTCCCTAGGGCCAGGAACCTTTGAGCCTAAAATCCATGACCGTTCTGCTGTCTGACACTGATAACTTCTCCAAGTAAACAGCATTAGTCGACCTTCCCCACAGAGATTGGATTTGAGGTGTGCCAGAAGAAATTGTACTTACACCCCCCAACACCAAGCAGTTCTAAAACCAGAAGCAGAGAATGCCTTCAGGAGCTTGTCCTGGCTCAACTTCCAATGAATAACTGGGGAAGAGCTTTCCAAGTGAGGTGGCCAAGAAAGTGGCAAAGCTGTTGCGTGACTGCTGGTGGGCCCACTTGGCAGGCACAGTCCAGTCTGTCTTCGACGAGGCAGATGAGGGTGAATGTCTTCAGCACTCTACAAGAGGGAGCTAAGTGGGACAAACACTGCCCTTCCTCCCCACAGTCTCTCTGAACCCCTCCCTCCAGCATATGCAGTCCAAACTCCCGGAGAGGAGGAACTTGGTTTCCAGGAGAAGCTCCCGCCCCATTTCACACCCAACCTGCCTATCCCCAAAGCCTAACCCAGACCCGAAATGACTGCTCTGCCCACTGGAGTATCAATCTAGATCGGCACAGAGCCTGGTTTTTGTGTTTCATGTTGGTCTCCAGGCCAGAAGCTCTGGTCTTGCTCTGCTCCCGGTCTCACAGGGTCCAAAATCATAGGTAGCAGCGGGTAGGGCAGGTGGGCTTGAGATGAGAGTGGGATCAAACCTGGCCTCCCACATCCGGCCTTTGCCACCGGCTGTCTCCCCAACCTCAGGGGTCAGTGAACCCAGGCCTGGGTGTGGCCTCACCCTCCCATCTCACTCCTGGAGTTCTTGCAGTGCCACAAGCCAGTGCTGGTGCTTGGGGCAGCTGGGGAGTAGGGTGATGGGGTGGGGACAGAGACGGCCACACCCAGAGAGAAAGCTGAAGGATCCACCGAAGGAGGGCAAGTAGCAGTGCCAGCGGGAAGTGTGAGGCCAGGCGGGAGAAAAGTCCTTGCTAAGGGTAATATAATCACAGCGGTGGGGAGGGGGGAATTGGAAAGGAAAGGTAATTCTCAGTACTCTCCAGGGGGAGAAAATAGCAAAGAGCCATAGGCACGTCTGGACAGAAGGATTTATTAGAGCGTTACAGTGGGGGCTCCCACGCAGAGGGGTGCAGATCCAGGCGCTCAGCTCTCCTCCTCCCCCTCCGCGACCAAAGCCTTCTGGCTGTCTGCCCCGCCTTGCTCCTGCCTCGTAAACTCCTCGATGACTATGTCCTCAGAGCTTCCAGCAGAGGAGAATGGAGGGTTAGGAGCCCAGTTCATTACCTTTTTCTGACCCCAGAGAAGAGATCCCCTCCCTGCTTCTCAGCTCAGTCCCAAGGCCCTCTCTCCGTAGCGCCCCCACCCCATCAGCCACACTGGCTTCTGTCCTTTTCTTCCCTCCCAATTCTCCCAACACAAAAGTCCCCTAGGAGTGCTACAAGAGAAATAAGAACAGAGGGTGGGACAGAAAGAAGGAATGGGAGAATGAAAGAAGGAAGTAAGGTCAAGAGAGCAGGCAAAAGGGAAAGGAGAAATAGAAAGTACGAGGGAGATGGACTATTCCAACAAGAGCGGGGGTGGAGGGCAGGAGGTGTAGAAAGGGAAAGGAGGGCGCATGAAAAACACTCAGATGTGACAGGAAGCTAAACTATGTGTTTCTACTGCACACGTATTAAAAGCAACACCCTTGGAAGCCTTTACATTTCCATCGCCATAAAATGGAGAGTAGCGACGAGGGTTCCCAGGTCTCTTATTCCCTTACCTACAGGCCTCTGTAGCAGACGTAGGGAGGGAGGGAAAAATGGAGTTTAAGCTGCCAAGGGGCTGTTCAGTTCTCTGGAGAAATATTTGTACTCTTTCCCCTCCCTTTTGAGCCCTTCCCCTCCTGCACAAACTTTCCGTAAAAACCCATACACCCAACCTGCTTATTGACGTTCCATCTCTACCCAAGCTGCTAGCCTTCAAGTCATAAGATCAGAACCTCTCGGCCTCCAGACCTCAAGACAACCATTCCCGTGAGTCCCGCCTGGTCGCTCACCATGAGATGGCTTTGGGTGGATGAGGATCAGAGGCAGCTCAACACCAACATCACTGCAAGGATTCCCAAGGTGGATTTACTGGCATCACTACAAGCCCAGTTATCGAGCCATCCTCCCTTAGATTTTAGTTGTAGGATGCCCTCAGACTCTTCCTAGTCACTGTTTTTTAATTAATTTATTTCTGTGATACTAGAGATCAAACTCAGGACTTTGTGCATTCTAGGCGATTGTTCTACCACTGAGCTGTATCCTAAGCCCCACCCCCACCTTCCGTGGTACTGGAGATTGAACCCAGTACCTACATATGCTGGGCAAGCACTCCACCACTGGTTACATCCTCAGCCCCCCACCCCCTTTGAGACAGGGTCTTGATAAGTTTCCCTGGCTGGCCTCACAGTTGTGGTCTTCCTGCCTCAGCCACCCGGGTAGGTGAGATTGCAGGCATGTACCACCACAGCAAGCTTGATTAGTCACTCTTTTGGTTTCCTTGTCCCTACATCGTCCCCTTTCTGCCCATCCTCTCACCCCATAGTCTCTCACCTGGCTATCAGATCTCCTAGGAGGCTGTGGGTAGAATAACACCCAAAATTAGCAGCTGAATATGGGGAAGGGACAACCTAGTTTCCCAGGGGGATGATGGATCATAAGGCCAACTCAGTTACAGAATGGGTTTCTGGAAAGAAATTGACTTATTCATTGAACTCACATGTTTGGGAACTTAGTCGGGGAGAAGGGGAACAGCTTCATTGGGTCAGTCTGAGTGGGAAAAAACCAAACTACTAAACTCTTGGCTCCCCAGCCCCTGCCCATATAGACTCCGAACCCTCACTTACCCTCCAGACACCATCAGGTTGACTCTGACTTTGTAGGACACCAGGATCCCCAGCAGCTCCTTGTTCATTCCAGGTCGAAGACTAGAAATTGCATTATCTATTTTTGTGTGTTTGGGGCAGGGGAAGTAATTCATTCAGCCCTGTACTTCCTGTGCATTCACATCACTCCATCTTATTCCTTTATTTTCTTCTCTCAGAAGATCTCCTAGGCTGTAATCTCTCCTACTTACTTGGACCACATTTCTCTTCCTAAAATTCAGTTTTACCATATTATTCTCTGTTGAAGATCCTACCTTGTTGAATATAACTATTCTGGTTGACTTTTAAGACCCAAACAATCTGTCCTCATCTACTCTTTCTAGGCTTCTCTGCCCTAACTCCCCTGTTAGCTAGGACACGACATAGACATACCTGTCTTCTTTCCATGGTCTGAAAATATCCTGTGGATTCCCACCTTCTAGCCCGGGCCCTTGCTATGTCCCCAGTCTGAAATGTTCATTTCTTCCTCTGTCGATATCCAGATCTTACACATTCTGAAGATCTAGCTCTTTCTACCTCTTCTAGGAAGGTTTTGCCAATTATGTTGGCTTCTTTTAACTTCTGTTGGACTCATAATCCAAACTACATGTACTAACACTTAACTGTTAGATTTCACTTTTATTATTTGTTCTTCATCTAGCCTATACATTGACTAAAGGCAGAGACTATCGTAAACATTTTTGTATCCCCCACATTGCTTAGCATGGGAATGGCCATTCAAAGATGACTCGGGAGGGAAAAATAAGACACTGCAACTGTATGATTTTAGAAAAGTCTATTGCTCTGGGCTGCTGATACCCTCTCTGTAAAATAATGCTATTTGGGTAAATGGATGCAACTAGAGACCATACTCATAAGTGAAATAAATTGGACCCA